CTTTTGCCTTTTTCTGCTCCATGACTTGTCCGACTTGTGGCACGTGTTGCTGACGGTTCTCTCCCGACCTCCCCGTAACCGCGTTGCCTTGTGCTTCGCTTTCCCAACTTGCACAACGTAGGGTATTTGGTGGTAGCTCTCCGTAACTGCCCCGAGGCAATTACACATCTCCTTTCCGAGCAGGCAGCGCAATTGCGCTATCGCCCTTCCACTTCAAGCGCACTGTTTGGTTCTGCCTTACTCTACTGCCAGCGCACAGCCGCTGCGCTCCGACGGGCTTGCTGTCAAAACGCTTTTATCCGGTTTGATCCGTGTCTGTGACCTGGCGATCCTGTTGTGTTGCGTGAAAGCCAGAAGTGAGGACCTCCTTGCAGTTCAGCTTGCTTTTGAGCTCTGTCGGCATTAAAGACAACGGCTCAGATGGGCTCTGCTGGGGTCCGATGAGCATGAGAAGAAAGATGGCAGATAATTCAGTTGGGTTTGGTATGTCTGTAGCAAGCCAGGTTCAGGCTATTGCACCCTCTAGGGGATAGGTGAGTTGTGAAGGAACTCTGGCCTCCAGTTATTTTTTTTTAACTTTGACAACATTGCCAAACACTTTGTTTCAATCCCAGCACTTTAATTTTGCCTCTTTTTTCACCCCGGTGATGTATTCTTTTCAATCTGTCTTAAGCAGTTAGTGTTCCCGTTAAATGGCTGTGGCATTTTGGCTTCGAGCGTTTTTCTGTCGGTGACTCTTGCTTACACCCACGGCATTTGTTGGGTTTGCAGGGAGAGGTCTGTGGGCATCAAGGACGGTTCCAGAAAGCCTTTGCTAAGGGCAAGTGGCGTGAGAACGTCAACCATGTCCATGGCAGCCCTTACACGGCTCCCTGGGAGCTGCATGAGGAGGGGAGGTAGTTCACAGAAAGTGCGTTGTTGTGAAGATAACCCCCAAAAACCAGGGCTGCGTTGTATCGAGTACTGTACAGGAGTCTACTAACCACACATCTGCAGAGCAGGCCATCACCCCATTGACAAGGAGCGAGAGAACAGAGAGCGCTGTCCTCATTGCACATGTAGGGAGCAGAAGATCAAAGAGTTTTGGGATTCCTTAAGTGTCATTGCAGAAAACTGTAGGAGCAGGGAACTGTCTGCAGTCTGCTGGGTCCCCCTCCGAGTCCTGGGGTCCCCCACCCTGAGCACTGCTGGTCTCG